GCCTTAGCCGCTTGAGCCACAGGTGCTGAGCCAGGGAAGATGTTAATATATTTCATAGGCTGATAAAAAACATGAACTGTGAAAAGACCCATAAGAAATGATAAAAGAGACAGAACAAACAAGCTGCTTTCATGGCAGGAACAAAATAATTTAGAAATAGATAATGAGGGCTTGGCGCCCATAGCCCAATGGTTAGAGCACCAGCCACATACACCTAGGCTGGCAGGTTTGAACCTGGCCCAGGCCTGCTATACAACAATGACAACTGCAACAACAACAAAAAATAGCCGGGCATTGTGGTAGGCACCTGTAGTCCCAGCTACTTGGGAGGCTGAGGCAAGAGAATCACTTAAGCCCAAGAGTTGGAGGTTGATATGAGCTGTAATACCCCAGCACTCTACTGAGGGTGACATAGTGAGACTCTGCCTCTAAAAAAAGAAAAAAAAAAAAAAAAGGACCAGAAAGGTATAATGGAAGAAAGTCTGGAATTATCCATCTAGGCTGAGGCAAATGAGTTTTAAAATTACCAGCTAGATTTATGGTGAAATGGGAACTTGGACTTGGCACAGAACACAAATCTGAGGTATTATGATGAATGAGTTTAAAAAAGAAAATGTTAAGGAGAGGAACATTAACCAAGAATTTTCTCCTTTATACAGACAGATTTAAGAATAACTGAAAGAAAAAAAATCTACCACAATAGCAAGGACTGATAAAAGAGACACAAGTGAAGAAGAAAGATCTAAACAAAAGGGATATAGAGTATTTTAAGTGACAAATATCTTTTATAACATCAACTATACTAGGAGAAAATGTACATAGAATGATATTTAAGTCATATTTTCCAAAGGTCAGTGGCCTTTAAAGATACTCCTAAAACATTTCAAAGGTATACTTCCTACTACCTTACCCCAGTAAATATACTTTCCACTAGATTTCATCTGCCTAGGAGATAGAAACTCACCTAAGCAGGTATGACCTGCAAATGATGCCCATGGCTCTTCTCCTCGTTCCAACCTGAGGATCACATCGGGTTTGGTCATGTGACACCCTGATAAAGGAAAATAAGACTTAAGTTTGTTGTCTTTTAATACTATTGAAAAATGAGTGGTTCAGTACCACAAACTAAAAAGCTCCTTTGTATAACAGCAAACTTAGCACCCAGCAGTGGGATAAATGAAAACATTTTCATTCTGCCAACCCCTGAATTTCAAGACTAAATTCAGGCAGTTTGAGAGGAAATATGTTACTGAAAGTTACAAAAGGAGTTTTTCTTACCCACAGAGATGAGGTGGCAATAGTTTTCCAACATCACATCCATATATAGAGTTTTCTGTGCAGGATCCAGGTGCTGCCATTCCTCCTGAGTAAAATCCACAGTCACATCTTTGAATGACACTGATCCCTGAAATGGATGAACTATAATTAGGGCAGGTTGACCAGATTCTGCGGACTGTCCTTTCTGGCATTCATATAAAAACTTTACTAAGAAAAAAAATCATTTTCCCTGTTTTATGATTTACATTATAGGAGAAACAAATATCAAGATAAATATCTGTCACTGACTATAGTAATATCAGACAAAACAGACTTCAAGTTGAGGAGTATTACTACTAGAGACAAAGAGGGACATTTCATAGTAATAGGAATAAATATATCAGGAAAATGTTATAATCACTGAATGATGGTTGATGTTAATATATTTATCAGTAAGGCCAGATGCCGTAGTTCATGCCTGTAATCCTAGCACTTTGTGAGGCAAAGGCGGAAGGTTTGCTTGAATCAGGAGTTCGAGACTAGCGTAAGCAAGAGCAAGACCTCATCTCTACTAAAAAACAGAAAAACTGGCTCGGTGCCTATAGCTCAACCGGCTAAGGCGCCAGCCACGTACACCTAAGGTGGCAGGTTCGAAT